GGTCCCTACGAAAAGCCATGCAGATGCTCCTCAAAAAACTAAAAATGGACTGCCAAATGATCTAGCAATTCTACTTCTAGGTATCTATCCAAAGAACATGCAAACACTAGATTAGAAGGAAATCATCACTCCTATGTTTATTTGCAGCACTATTCACCGTAGCTAAGCTATGGAAAATCTCAGTGTCCCCAAATATATGAATGGATAAGAAAGATATGGTGTCTATACACACAATGGAATACTACTTAACAACAAAAAATGATAAACTCATTGATTTGTGACAACATAGTTGGAGCTGGAGGGATGATGTGAAGGAAAATAGGTCAGAAAGACAAAGATAAATACTGGAAATTTCACTTATAGATGGAAAATAGAGGAACCAAAAGGTCAGACAAAGACAAACTGAAAACTGACCACAGAGCTGAGACTTTCTGGGATGGGAAGGCAGGAGAGGGGAGGATTGTGGTGATGGACTGTGTGTGTATTGGTGGTGGGAGAAATGACCATACCTGAGGGGAGAAATCCCATACTGTCTAAAAATTAACAAAGATGTAAAAAAAATATTTGATTAAAAATAAATTAAATAATTTAAAAATCTAATAAAATAAATAAAAATCAAGAGACAGTTAAAAATATAAAGTTTATTGCTTTTTTTAAAATAAAGATTGATTTATTTATGCACACAGAATTGGGGTACAGGCCAGAGGTACAGGAGGGTGAGAGGATTCACCAGAGACAGAGTGGGGAGCAGAAGAGACAGATTGACAAAGTACACTGCTGAGGGGAGCAGCAGGCGAGGCAGAAGTCAGCCTCACCAATGGGTCACCTTCCTGGGGGAAATCAGACACAGCACTCAGGTGGTTGTAGCTAGCTTGGAGTGCAGCGCTTCACCTGTTGTGCTACCAGGGAGGACCCTAGAGTTTATTGCTTTACAAACATCAAAACTGTGCTCAAGGTTGAAGTAGATTATTACTCCTTTTTTTTTTATCCTGTGGTACATTCATTTATAGCAGAAAATCATCAAACTCATTCAATTGAAGCAAAAAGAAAAGGTATAACATGACAATGAGCACTTTCCAATAATCACCTTAAACTTAGGCAGGCTGAACTCACCAGTTAAGGGATGTATAGTGCTGAATGGATTTCAAAACATCCACTTCTTTGCTATTTACAAGAAACTCACCTTACTGTTAAAGTATACACTTAGATTTAAATGCTGAGAGATGAGTATACAACCCACCAAACTGCAACCAAAAAGAAAAACTCAAGAGCAGCTAAACTTATATCTTATAACAGACTTCTTATAGAGAACAACAGAGGACACTGGTTTATAATTAAGTATCTAATGCGAAAAGAAATAACACTCAAAAATGCATATGTATCAAATGATGGAGCACTAAAATTCACAAGAACACTGATAATGAAGATGTTAAAAATAACAAAATAACGAGGTTGCTTTAATACCCACTTATGACATAGATCAACATGACAAAATATAAACAAACAACAGCTTTAAATGAGGAGCTAGATCAAGCAGTTCAAACAGATATCTTCAGAACGTTTTACCCCAAAACTTCTATATATTTCAAGTACACATGAAATATTTTCAAGAATAAATTAAATGTTGACCTACAAGTCAAGTATCAATTAAAGTATAAAGATCAAAATTATACCTAGCACCTTCTCTGACCTAAATGCCATGGAATTAGAAATCAACTATCAGGGATATCTATAGATATAGGGAGATCAAACTACATGCTATTCAATAGCAGTTTTTTAAAAGAAGAAATCAAAGCAAAAGTTAAAAAATAGCTTGAGGGCCCTCCCTGGTGGCACAGCAGGTTGGGACACAGCACTGCAAGCCAGCAGCAGCCACTTCAGTGAGCCTTCAATTCCCCAGCTTGGAAGGTGATCCACATGGTACAGCAGGCCTCTCTTGTCGCACCTACTTCTCCCCTCAGTAGTGTACTTCATTGATCCCCACTTTGTCTCTGGTGAAGCCTCTTACCACCCCTACATCTCTGGCCTGTATCCAGTGCCTAAATAAATCTTTTTACAAAAGCAGCTTGAGACAAATGAAAGTTATAATACAAGAAAGAGAATCTATGGGATGCAATAAAAGCAACCATAAAGGGGATGATAATTACAAAGACAGACCCATACTTAGAAACAACACAAATCCCAAATTAAAAAAAAAACTAACCCCTGTAAATAAAAGACACAGTTTGTACATGGAAGGAAAGTGAAAATACATGGAATGGAGATCATAAAGTTATACAAAAATCAGTGAAAGAAAGCTGTTTCTTCAAGAAGATAAACAAAACAAATGAAACTCTAGGTAGGCTAACAAAAGAGATAAAAAATTAAGACATTAATGAACAGAATCATGAATGTAAGAGGAGAAGTCACCACAAATAGCCCATAAATATAAAAAAACATAAGAAATTAGTATGAACAATTATGTATGCCAATAAATTCTATAACCGTGAAGAAAATGATAGATTTTTAAAATAATATAGTTTACCAAGACTAACCCAGAGGAAAAAAGATGAATTGAATGAACAAATCACAAGCATGGAAACTGAAACAATAATTAAAATTCTTCCCCAAAACAAAACTCCAGGAATAAACTTTACAAATTAATTTTATCAAGCTTTTAAAGAAGAAATATCAACTTTGCTGAAATTGTTTCTAAAATTTCAAGAAGGAATGCACCTAAATACATTTTAAGATCCAATGTTCCCTAATAATGAAACCAGACAAAGATAGCACAAGAAAGTTATAGACCAATATTCTTGATGGACATAATTCAAAACTTTTCAACAGATTACTAGAAAACTTAATGTAACAGAATACTGTAAGTATTAAACACCATGATCAAGTGAGATTTATCCCAGGTGTGCAAGTATGGTTAAATAAACACAAATCAATTTGTTATACCATATCAACAAAAATAAATATAAAAAATTGCGTAATATCATTATGCACAGAAAGTACTTGATAAGATTTAGCACCCACTTATGATAAAAAGTAAAAAAATTATGGGGATAGAAGAAACCCATCTCAATATAACAAATGCCATATATCACAAACCAGCCAATATAATACTCAACAGTGAAAAACATAAAGATAACCCCACAAGACTGGGAGTAAGTCTGGGATGTTTATAGTCACCATTTTTATTAAATTTATTATTAGAGATGGAGCCTCCACGGTGGCACAGGGGTTAAATAAAGCACTATCAAACTACTGCCAGCCACCACAGTGTGAGTTCAGTCCCCAGCCAGGCAGGTGACCCACATGGCACAGCAGACTCTACTGTCTTGCCCACTGCACCCCTCAGTAGTAGATATGCCTGTTCTGCTCCCCAATTTGTTTCTGCTGTATCTGCTTATCCCCTATACCTCTGTCCTATACCTCACCTCTTGCATGCATAAATAATTTTTAAAAAGATAATTTAATATAAACTTTAATCAATACTAATAAAACAAATAATGACAACTAGTATGGTGACTGAAAATGTAAAATACATCTGAATTTTAAAATATTTAATATGTCTGTTCAAATCCACACTCTAGAAAAGACACTGAACTATTGTCTTTGACCATAATATCAAATACTTGACAAGGCTTTGGCAGATATCCAAGCCAGGAGCAGGAGCTATGATTTATTCAGTGAAGTGTCTATCAATGCTCTGTTTCACAGAGATCTGAAGCTAATCAAATCAGATGTTCAACTTGCCAATAATTCACAACTTACTCTGCAGTTTTACAAAGCATTCCCAAGACAGCTTGGTGTGTAAATCTACTTTGAATAGACTCATGCTTTTTTTTTTTTTTTAAAGGCATAGTAAGCCAGGCAAATCAGAAACCAAATCACACCATATTCATGCTATTATTTTTTCCAAGGGGGGAAAAATAAAAGCCTGGAAAGAATTTAGTACCCCTCTGTCTCTAACCTTTCATGTATCCTCAAATTGGATAACTGATAAAGGATACGTTAACCTTCGTTAAGATGTCTGGTAGCCCAAAAATGCAACTTCAAATCTTTAATCATTAGAGACATAATAAATAGTACATATGCTTTTAATACTAGAAAACACCTATTTTCTGCCACAATCACTAATGAGTTTAAAGGTCTATCTCTGGTGAAACAATATGGAATAATGATAGCAAGCAACAAAACAAGTCAAGATGAAATCTGTGTATTAAGACAGCCATTTAAAATTTTTAAGAGAAACACTACACTATAAACTGAAGAAACAACAGTTCAAAACATGCATCTACATGTCTTTGTTTTATAGTTATGTGTTATGCTTCACAGAAAAGTGCTCTAAGATAGAAAGCAAAGATGATATAAAACTACTAAAATATACCTGCCTTCATTTTTCTGAGTGCAAAGTTTCCTCTGACAATTTATAAGCTTCTGATTGAAAGTTAATGACTAAGTAACTTTATTTGAAAATATTAATTTATTTTAACATTCAAATCAATAATTTATCCTTAAAGATTATTCTGTATTTTTAAAAACTGTATTTGCAAGAGAGAAACCTTGACTTTTATAATATATGGATTTAGTGTTATATGTCACAGATAGCAAATGAGTTCACAAAAATTACAAGCAATTATAATATTAGAGTTTTACACAGTCAAAACACTTGATTTTAACCATCACAATGTTAGAAAGTGTATAGGGACATGTACATAACAACCCACATATACAACACAAAAGTTAAAACAATAAACGGAAAAATGTTACTAGCTCAAAAGTAACCTTACTATAAACTGCCAAGACCAGCTAAACAAGACTGCATTTTCTTGCCATGTGATCCATACACGTACATTTCTTGAATCCCCTGAATTGTTTTATTTTATTCACTCTGTGCCAAAAAAGACTAAGTTCGATTTATTTTTGGGTGGGGAGTACCAGAATTTATACGATAGTGTTTACTTTTTCTTTTTTTAAGGAAACAAAGACAGAAAGGTTCTCCCACTACTCACTTTTGACTTCTGTATGCTTGATATATCGTTGCCAGGCTCCTGGGATGAGAGATATGGGGAGGCACAGAATTGCTAGGGGGTTCCACTAAAAAGCCCAGCACCATAGGCAACACTAATCCTGCACCTGTGATGTGTTATTCAGCAGTTAAGAAATGCTGTCCAGACGGTGGTTGCTTAATACAGCTCAGCTGTTTTTCTCAGTACTCCCTTTGATTATAAACTGGCAAGAGAGATTATTCCAGCCAGGCATTGAGCTGTGCTCAGGAGACACGGAATACGACAGTGGGAAGGTGAAAGAGAAAGGAAATCTTAGAATCAAAGAGTAAATAAAAAAGCAAGAATAGGAAAAAAGTCACTGACCACAGGGTATTGTGTAACATTTCCAGATGGTTAAAATCTGTCTCTTGATTATAGGTAAAGCAGAAAAAAATCTATTTTTTGATATAACCCTTTGATATTGAGAAGATACTTTGTTCAAATGGAAGCTAAGGTTTACTTTTAAAAAGGCACAAATTCATAAATTGATGTGCTACATTTCAAAAAGTTACTAAATGTCAATCTCATTTTAATTTGAAACCTTTCAAACTGTTAGGTGCCTGAACACCAAAAGTTTACCATTAATTTTGTATTTTAAGCCCATCATAGCCACTTAAACTGACATTAAAATTTACATATAAAAATCCTATTTGAGAAACAACTATCTTAATTCATTATGTATGGCTAAATTAACATAATGTATTTATTTGAACCAACATCAAATTGGGAGCAAGTTCAAACTGACTTAAGAAATGTTTATTACACACAAGCTGTCTGCAAAGACTATCAGATTAAGGAAAAATGACCAACTATGCTGACAAACCTTAAATTTGATGTTAGGAGAGAGGAATAAAAGTTATCGTTTTGCTTTTATTTATTATTTTGGTCATTAAAAGGCTGTTGACCATTCAGTCACATCAAACTTTCATTCTATTTACTTTTATACTCTGTATAAACACAAAACCATCTGTCCCTCAGCTTATACCTACACCATTTTAAACAATAATTTAAAATTTAAAACCTTACTCAAAGAACAGATACCCTTTCTTAATGGCAGATGGTTTAAAATAAGAAGAAAAAAAGTTTATATACAGAAAAAGGAACTGAAATGAAGAAAATGTACTGATGTCAAATTTAAATACAATGTGCATATTAATGCATTTTTTCTGTTTTCATTGATTATATACTAATTTCTGTCTAAGCTAAGTGGCATAAAAACATTAGAAATTCTATTATATATATGCATATATATACATGTATGTGTGTGTGTATGTATCTATTTTCCCCCCAAAGTAGTAGGGCCCAAAGGAATTTCTGAGTCCATAAAAGCATTTGTCTCATCACAATTTGACATGTCTTTTAACTTTGCCTTATTTTCAGGCACAGACTAATTATAAAACTCCATTTAAATTCCATGTAGCACTCTAAGGCCAACCAGTACTTGTGAGATATGCCACAAAAAAAAAATCTTAATATTTTCTTAAATATTATCATATCTGGTCTTTGCATTTAAAATAAGATAGTTGAATTTGGTGATATATATATATATATATATGAATATATATATAGAAAGAGAATATATATACACACACATAGCTATGACTAGCAATAGAATTGTGATACTTTACAAAGAAATATTTTTTTGAAATTATACTTTATTGGTCATCAAAATAATGCTCACAATTCTGAACCACCATTAGCTTTGCTTTTGCTTTTATGTATAGGAATAAAATTGCCAAAGGGCAACCTTACTGACTTCTGGGCACAAACACCAAAGAAAGACTGAATTGAGACTACACTACTATAATGATTTGGTTATCTTAAATCTGAGTATAGCACACAGTGGAACATTCTGGCCTGATGCTGCTCAAGCTGTTCCTCTTTCAGTAAACAAATAGTTTCAGTTTTCAAAACATTCTCCAAAAGCAATCTTTTTTTTTTTTTTAACTGTATGAAGTCTAGTAGCCTGAGGGGCCTAAACTTTAAAAAGCTTCTCTGATTTTACCTGAAAATTGTCTTCTATGTTATTTTTATCCAAGTCCTATCTCTTTATTTATGCCGGTAAGTACTAACCCACACATCATTTTCCAAGTTCAAAGTGTTTCTTTCTTTCTTTTAAGAATAATTTTCAATAGGGAATCACAATAAACAACCACCACAAAAGAACAACAACAACAACAAACTGAATTTAAGACATGAAAAATTATTATCTTTCATAAACCCTTTCTTCAGTTGTTTCTGTATTTTAAGGCAGCTATATGTGTTATATAATCTTCTCTGAAATGCATTGGATAATTATCTTAAATTTCTATATCAAAATAAGAACATATGATATACATACAGGTTCGCATTCTACATAAATGACCAAAGCACTTCCAAATAACTGCACCATGAGAGAGGCAAATAACAATGGCTGCTAAAAGGGACACTTCAGTTATGTTTTCCAGAGAACATATTTACAAAGAAAATATGAAGTCAAACAAAAAATTTTATTAAACTTTATTGATATTTCAGTTAAGAAACAATTTATTGTTCACCTGCAAAATGCCTCTTCTCTATCTAAAAACCCTGAAAATGAACCAGTATGGAAGGCAAGAATTATTATTTAATGAATCAGAGAATGGTAAAACATGGCAGTTTTCACTATTAATGGTCATTAGAGCTGTGCATTCTTACTAGGAGCAACATCTTACAGTTGCTTCCCCTCTTCACCCAAGGAGAAAGCAGGAAAATCCTTAAAAATGAATAGATCCCACTTATATGAGAAATGACTATTTAGCCATAGAAGTTACTTGCTTTCTTTGCATTTTTCTTGGTAGACAATAATAATAATAACATATTGCTTCCATCAGTAAAACCTTAGTCATCATTTGGTAGCAATATGAAAATGTCTTGGCTGTTCTCCTTATCATCTTAGTCAAGTTGTTTGCGCAGGGAAGTATAAAACTTGTTCTAATCATTAGATAGATGACATGGAGTTAAAAAAAAAATCTTCTAGTAGTTCTTTTCTAAAAAATTTTCATCACAGTCCTCAGGATACAGCACTTTATGACAACTTTCATGCATGCTAAAATCATAGTAAAGGACACATTTCCCCTCCCACTTCATTCCCATTAGGGAAAGAAAGCCTTGTCGAATAGGCGCCATCCCTAGCAATCCACCCACTTTTAACTGTGCCAGGCTCTTGCCTTTGGAGAGTTCAGTGTCTCCTCACTAGCAAGAAAGTATAAGCACAGAGATCATTAGTTATGACATGCAGACACTAGCAGATAATGTTGACTCATTTCAGGAACTATTAAAATATAAACAGTGTGCTAAAAGTCATTTATCTGCATTTTAGTATAAACAGCAGAAGCTACTCAATTAAATAGATTGCAAGGAATAAGCTGCTGATGCCAAACCATCTGATGTTAAATTCTAGAAAGGAAAATCTATAAACTTAATAAAAATCAACCTAGGAGCCGAGGGATACTGAAATATAAAAATAGTAAATCTTGTTTCATAAGATTAATGAAACCTTTATATACATTTCAGCATCTTTCAAAAGGTCAGCTGATTCCATTTTCTAAAGTATATGTAGAGCAGTATGATTGCAAAGAGAAATTTTCTCTTAGGTGACATTTCTAATAATATGGGCCCTGAGCAAATGTATGTTAACGAGGAAACTTTTATCACTTTGTAAAAGTAGATTAAGATCAGTTTTGTTTACCAGCACTATTCTTATTCATAAGCAATTTAACTATTTCAAGAGCTATTTTCTAAGATGATGAGGAAAAAATGTGAGTGACATTTTACATTTATATATTTCGATCATATAAATGCATACATGTATTTCTATTTGTAGCATGTTACAATGCTTCAGAAAAAAAAAAACATTAATCTATCATGGAATCTAGGAGATTTTTGTCCCATATTTGATTAAAACAATACAGAATAAACCAGGTCTTAAAGTGTAAATACCAAGTATAGATCAAACATGCCATTTAGAACTTACTTTTCCTACTTGTCAGAAAACAAATCAAAATCTGCTCTTTTTCACAGTTCCAGGATGTCAGAAGCTTTTCAAAACAATTTTGAGGTCAGAGAAGAGAACACACAGGTGTGTGTTATGTCAACTAGAGAAAGCAACTGAAGGTGAGCCTGGAATCTGATCTCTCTACCAACACATTCTTGTGGGCATTATAAAAGCTCCCTGATGGAATATTACACTAATGCTGACTAATTTTTAAAAACATAGTAAATCTCATTAGCTTCTCTGCTAGTAACATCAAACTCCTGCTACCTTTCTGTAAACCTTTAATGTTTTCTCCAATATCACCTTTTATGCTCTACTTCACTGATAATATAACAAGTTGAACAATAATCAAATATTTAGTATCAACACACATCATGAAAAATATGACAACCCAATATAATAATCTAGTTATACATGCTTAAGTAAAACTAGTTCATATTAATGGTCATTTGTTCTTGGGGAAATTCATTTTATATTTTGATTGTTGGTTTAAGATGCCAAGAACAGACAATTGGCATTAGAATTTGACATCTGAGGTTACCAGTTTTCATACTAGAAAATGTGTACTCAAAACTTCTGTTAAACACTAAAGTAAAAACTGATTCAGGAGAAAAGTCTTGCCATTGAATGACTGAGTTCCCAATCAAGATTGAAAAAAATCTGCCTACCAGCAAAATGATCAATATAAATTTCAGACTATGTTTATTAATGGTACAGGATAGTCAGATCCATTTAAAATTAAAATATTCATTATAAATCATATAAACATGTTCAAATGTATTTATATACTTGAATAATTTATATGAATTTTGAATAATTTAACTTATACATTTGGAATAATTCTTCCTGTGGTATTTATATAATTATTTATTTTACACACACACATACACACCACAGATATGTGTACAGTGAGGCTTCACAAGTAACAAATTACTTTCACAAAGCCTGTCTCTTCCCAGCCAAATTTTCCTACTATTTTCTAAACCTCAAAAATGTCTCGATACTGAACAAACCCTCCAATTAATGACACACTAACAAAAACTTTTACAACAAATTTCCTTCTAAGTCCATCATGCAGAG